TGTAATCATGCTCTCCTAGACTAAAGTATCAATCAGTACACAACCAACGGACTTAGTCATCCTTGTATACTAGTACCTTAAAAACATATACAATAAAGGTTCTCAAAAAGTGGTGGTCCGAAGGTTTTAACCATTGAAATATTGCAAGGACCGGCACAATTTTGGTATTTTGAAATAGAAGTAATAGTTAGGACCAGTATATCTTTCTTCAAGGACCAACAAGGAATACAGATTTTGAGAACTCTGCGATATCTTTTATATACAATGCTTATAGACAAGATGTCCTTTTCGATCATATACCAGACAAACATTGACAATATCTTGAATAGTTTAAGATTATTCCAAAAAAAATTTAATGGTCTGAGTTTTAAGCCGGATTTGTTTGTTAAAATTAAGTTAGAAAAACATAAAGAAAAAAATTCACATACACAGAGATTTTTTCCAACAATTTTCTTTGTTTTACTTATCATATAATTACATCAATGCCAAAACGGAGAACACTATTAAAGTCATGTCTACCGAATGAACTGACGTAACTAAATTTTCTAATAAATCACCTTAAACTTCGTTTATGTTATCCAACATAAAAAAATTCTACTATATTCGACGGCAAATTGAATTTTTGTTTTATTATTTCTTCTACAGAATATCTCCAGAAGAGGTCCAGATTCATTTTTTTTTGGACTCTTCACCAGAAGACATTCTGGAGATGTACAGAAGAGACCAATAAAACACGCCCCTGCCTATTAAATATAAAGACATTCTGTCTCTGTGATTTAATGAAAAGTGTAATCAACATATTTGTTTGACATTTGGACTAACAAAATTAAAGTGTTATTGTAATATAACCCCGTTCATAGACCTTGTTTAAACAGGTAGCTTCATTATCTAACGTTAATGTTGATAACCGATTTTGTTTGACTTTCCAACTGAATGAGCAATGATAGATCTGTATAGCAAAAGACCGGGTTTTAAACTTCATTTGGGTACAATATCTTTAACTGAAGAAAGATCAATTTTCATGTCAGATAATTAAAATCATATTTTGTTGATATAAAAGCCGGATGATTGGGGTTTACGGGTCTTTTAATTTGAATTAAGTATGATGAAATCCTTGCATTGACGAAAATGGGAGTAAGAATGTTTTGTTTTTTTCCTGAGTGTATTACCCCACTGATTATCACTGAAAGCACATATGTATAATTCTATATTGTATTGAATTATTCTAATATGCTATATTCTATATTCTGATAAAAAAAAGTATGGAGATGTGGTATGATTGCCAGTGAGACAACTATCTACCAAAGTCTTAAATAAAGTGGATCCGTACGGCTTTCTACAATGAAAAAACCCATATCATATAGTCACCTGTAAAAGACCTCGACATTGAAAGAGAACCCATTCAAATGAGAAATATAACGGTATAGTGTATAACAAAACAATTAACGTTAAACAAAAATGATAAACATGAACCAACGGCAACCACTGAACTACAGGATCCTGACTTGGGACAGGCTCACAGAGTGGCGGGGTTGTTGTAAATCACTTTTGTTGAAAAAATATTTCAACAAAAATAAAGTTTTTTTCCTATAACCCTACATTATTTCCACGTTGCATTAAGTTAAAGATATATTAAACCCTATATAAATGATGCTAGATAGATCTTCATGTTATAGCAGAGATAAGTACACCATACATCATACTTCAGATTCGTGCGTACAGATTCCAGTATTTGGTGATTAGATAACTCTTATTGTTTATTATTCAAGACGTTATTATTAATGATATGCAATGATAACAACAACGGTAGTGACAGTATGTGGTCACAGTTTTTTTTACCAAACTATCTAGTTTAACACACAGCTTACTAGATCACTAGACAAACAATTAAGATAAAAGCACGTGTTCACCTTTTATGTTGACAAACTACAAATCGATAACTCGATAACTATTGGGACAACACATAATTGCAATCCACAAATTTTCAATTAAATGAATCCTTTGAAAAACAGATTCGTAAATGTATGTGTGGTAGGTCCGTGGACATACAATGCCAAATGCCTCGGGTACATACAAAATATATGACGCAAAATGACACTAGCAAACACGTTGCGAAGTGTTGGTACATATATATAAGAAAACAACGGCCAAACACCGGTACACGGTAGAAAATTAACTTGATGTTCTTCATAAACTTCTTAGATGACAATTTTCAATATGGTGTGTACGAGGATCATTCTGGAAATATAAATAACAGACACAGCTCTTATATGTTCATATATTATACTAGTTTTTTTGCTACAACTATGGGAGGGTGGGATTTCAAATCACTTATTTATATCGTTTCTTTAAAATGTAGGAATAAAAAAGGTTGCATTAGTTTTATTCATTGTTTGTCATATAACTGATAAATTATTAGTTGACAGGATGTTGTCAAAAATGCAAATATGCTTACACAAATAACCAAATTAATGCTAAATCATTAAATCTATAAATATATGTTGTACGTACTCACAAGATATTATATTTCTTCTTAACCAAGATGATTATGAAACAGGATATGTTTATGTTTGTTTTGTCTTGGGTTATCCTTGATTGATGAGACATTTAACAACATGCATTTGTTTACCAAGCAGTGGGAAGTTACGAAGAAGTGTCAGAGTTTAAATATTAATCTCAAGCATATTAATAGTATCTGTTATGTAAAACTAATTTGATATTTTAACATAATATTATCATGACTTATATAAAGAGTATACAATTACTTTGCAGATTTTTCTGGTCTTCGGTATATATGCAATCTTATCTTAATCTTAAGAGAGCAAACGATTTGAATATGACACTACATAATTTAGATAATGTCATTCTAACTAAATGATATGTTATCGTCTGATAATCAAAAGTGAAAAGTCTGTTTTGTCATACATATGTCCGGGTGTTGTTATTATATTTGGATCAATTATATTGCTATTCATTTATTAATAAAACAATCTCTACGCATCATGTTTATTTTTAACAATTTTTAAATCAGTCAACAGCAGATAAAATAAAATTATACAACAGGATATTCATATTTCTTCTCCTCGTGTCAGCCTATCCTAAATTGATGAGACCAGAAACAACATGCATTTCAATCCCATGGGATTTTCTTTGTCGAAACGTACAGATAAGTGTCAGTGTTTAAATATGAGTCTCCAACATAATAATGATACCTGTCAAATGAAAGAACTGGCATGTAAAAACAATTTAATGCTTAAATATTATATTACCATAATTTATATAAAGAGTATGAAATTACCTTATAAATCATTCTGCTATTTGTTATATACGAAACGTGTCATCTTATTGTGATCGTTAGAAGTAAAACGGTTTGAATATGACACTATATAATCTAAATAATGCAATTTTAAATGAAATGAAATATCATCGTCTAATAAGCCGACATTAACAATCCGACTTGTCATACATAGGTCAGGGTTTTATTATGATATTACGATCATTGACATTGTAATTTATTCTTAAATCAAATATATTCTAAATCTACACTAATATAAGCATACTTTCAATTACATAAGAAGGAAATGTTTCATGTTATATTATTCTCATTCAAAAACAAAAATCTTGCAATTGAACTTGATTCTCTGTTTCCCTTTCCATGACAAAATTACCGATATATAATTTTTTCAATGCATTTGCCATAACTTTTTCCCGTTCCAAAGAAGATACTTCTTCAAAGTTTTAATTTGAAGGATATCGTTATTTGTATATGTGTATTAACATCACGTTTTCTCTGGAAACAAAACTTTAAATTCAAATCCGTGTAAATAAAAGTGTCAATTACTAATAAAAAGAAAAAAACTATATTGTGTTCTTCCAATTAAAAAAAAAAAAAAAAAAAAAAAAAATTCCAAATTGTTGACGCTATCTAGTCATTTAAGTTGAATTTGTAATACGACAACACTATGGCAATAATCTTATATCTAGATACGTAAAATATGAATGAAGTACTTATAACGATAAAGCAAGCGTTTGGGAAGCGCAGCTTATCCTAAATTGCCATTTGACGTATTTGCAAACATGAAATAGTGTCTGACAGACTCAATACACACACACACACACACACACACACACACACTCATACACACACACACACACAGAGAGAGAGAGAGAGAGAGAGAGAAGTTACAAATAATGATTGAGTAGAAGGTTATAACATAATACTTTGTTCTTAATAATTTCATCAGAGATACGTGTGACAATATTTTGAAATTTAGTAGTATATTGAACTATCCAAGATATCGGCAAAAGCTGTCTGACATATCCGGGATTCAATAACAAGTGTAACCAATACAAATGGACGGACTGACAAAAAAATCATATGTAATTGTAATATATCATCCGTTCTATGTTCCACTAGTAGTTAGGTGTAATACCACCAAATCAGAGTACGTCACATCCGGTTGCATATGTAAAAGGGTCGAAAAAAAATTAGTCCATTGAATATGACAGCTATAGGAAATTAATCTTATGTAGGTAAAACATTCTTAGTCATCACCATATATCTTGGGTGTTTCAAAGCACCATAATTTTTTTATTTTGTGTTTCTATAGAATAGTTTGGAAACTTGAGGTTACATGGTTACTAAAGCTTGTAAATTTTATTGGTTAACTTCCAGTGATGGTTATTTTATTATATGCAATGACATATTATGTGAAATTTCGTCTATAATACTGGACAGGATAAAACTTTACTCATGCCATGTATTTTTTTATTTGAAACAAAGATATATTTGCACATTTTTTTGAAAAGTGCCAATTTAAGAAAAGCTAAAAGAGGAAAATCAATGGTGGTATTACACCTATAAGTTTCCCTATATAAAGTAAATATAAATACAGATTGTATACTTTTTTTCCGACTGAATGAGCTGCAATGAGAAAATTGTCAATTTAAAGCCTAAACTCGGTTTTTAAAATTCATATGGGTACAATTTCATCTTTCATTGAATAAATATCCATTATGATGTAATATAATTTAAAATTAAATTGTGTTGATATAAAAGCCGAGTGATTGAGGTTTATGGGTCTTATTAGTTGAATTAAATATAAAGAAAGCCTTGCTTTGACGAAAATGGGAGTAAGAATATGGTTTTGTATGTGTTTATTTGCACTCTGCGTACCACTGGTATCATGTAAGTATAATTCTTTATCTTATTGTATTATTCCCCTATTCTATATTGCATATTCGGAGGCATTTTGGTTGAAAAATATCAAATAGTTGTCTACTTTTTTCAAGGTTATAAAGACATCATACTTAACGGTTTTTTTTTTGCCAATTATTCGATTCCTCATCTCCACCATCCAGAAAAATAGACCACAACATTTTAAATTAATTATAGTGTGTATTACTGATTTATGTCTGAACGTTTTTTCTTTATCATGTGTTAATATCTTTCATATCGAGTCAATAAAGCAAAACATGTACCTGTAATGGAGCAAATTAAGTATTTAAAAAATGTCAAATATGTTATCTTTATTTGGCGACGTTAAATATGACATGAATAAAATGAATTAGTGCGTGTAAACACAGCCTAACACAGTAGCTTAACATTTAAAACTTCGACACAAAACTGCGTCATAGGTTTGGTTTGTTTTGTCTTCATCTGATTTCTTTTGGCTTGTTTTCTTCGATTTGTCTTGAAGCTTTTTTATTTGAAACCACGATTCAAAAGTGTGCAATTTATTTGTTTTGACCTGCTTGCATCTGCTCCATTGTGTCGATTTGTCGTTAAATCTGTTATAGTGTAATGTTTATACATAAACGAATAATGCTCTATCAGCTACTTAATAATAATATTCTGACACCGTGACATTATATGTGTAGTCCACAAACCCGTAATATATCTTGTCGACTACAGTCGTCATTTTGTTATTAGCCGTGTAGTTGTTTGGAGTTATGAAAACATGTCCATAGATCTGTGTTGAAATATTTACGACTTGAATGCATCAAAGAAACGTAAACAATGAAGTAAAATACTGCACGGCGTCTGATACAATTGACTAAGATACTTGTTCGTGCAGTTGTACTGCTATTAACTACATTTGTACCTACCATTTATATTTATAAACAAGCCACACATTAGGAATAAACACAACAGTTATAAACCATTCTTCGAGTTGCCGACAAAATGAACCCATCTTTTACTCTCAATCGATTTATGACTTTGGAACAGCGGTGGAACTTTTTAAACAAGAGGGCCACTTCTGTCTAATAACCTGGGTTATAAAATGTAGATTATAATCAGATTTTTTATTCAATAAATGCATTTCATGTCTTAACAACAAAACACATGAAGTACTCTTAACAATAATGCACGTGTGTTTTATGCAAAGCATATCCTAAATCGTACTTTGAATGTGTCTGCATAGTTTTCGACAGACCAGTAAATGTACACACGCCACAGCATCCCATTGTTTAGAACCTAATAAAGTAGAATATTGTTTTAAATAATATTACATAATTGTGTGACCTTATTTTGAAATTTATCATCATATCGAAATATCCAAGATATCTTCAAAAGGTGTTCGACACATTCAAAACTATTGACCTGCCTATTATATATGAAGACATTCTGTCTTTTTGATTTAATGAAAAGTGTTATCAAAATATTTGTTTGACAGATGGACCAAAACAATTATACTGTAATTGTAATAGACCTGGGTTAAACAGGTACCTTCCTTATCTAACGTTCATGTTGATACTGATTTTATTTGACTTTCCAACAGAATGAGCAATGGGAAATTTATCAATAGTATAGCCTAAGACCGGTTTTTAAACTTCATTTGTGTACACTATCTTTAATTGAAGATAGATCAATTATTATGCCAGGTAATTAAAAATTATATTTTGTTGATATAAACGCCGGGTGATTGAGGTTTACAGCTCTTATAAGTTGAACTGAGCATGATGAAATCCTTGCATGGGAGTAAGAATCTGGTTTTTCCTGAATGTATTACCTCACAGCGTATCACTGGTATTACATATGTATAATTCTATATTGTATTGTAATATTTCTAGTATATTCTATATTTAATATTCTTATAAAAAAAAATATGAAGATGTAGTATGGTTGCAAATGAGACAACTATCGATCAAAGATTTAATTACGTGGATGTAAGTAACCATACGGCCTTCTACAATGAGAACATCCATATCGTATAGTCACATGTAAAACGCTCCGACATTGAAAGATGAAACAATTCAATTGAGAAATCTAACGGTATAATGCATAACAAAACAATTACTTTAAACACATATGATAGACATGAACCAACGGCAACCACAGAACTACAGGCTCCTGACTTGCATGGGACAGACACACAAAGTGGGGGGATTGTGTAAATCACTTTAGTTGAAAATAATATTTGTTTCTTCCTGCCTTCTATCTTTATTGGTGTAAAACGATTTTCCCATAACCCTACATTATATCCAGGTTGTATCAAGTTAAATATATATCAAACCCTAGATAAAAGATGCTTATTACATCATCATGTTATAGCAGAGATAAATTCACCATATATCATACTTCAGATTCGTGCGTACTGACAGATTCCAATATTTGGTGAATCTTTCACAACTAATTTAAAAACTCATATTATTGAAGATGTTTTTATTAATGATACGCATCGAAAACAACAATGGTACTGACAGTATTTGGTCATATAACTGATAGACTATTAGTTGACAGGAAGTTGTCAAAAATGTAAATATGCTAACACAAATACCGAATTCATCCAAAATCATAAGATCTATAGTTGTATGTTGTACGTATACGAACAGGATATTATGGTTTTTTTTAAACAATCATTAAATCAGTCAACACCAAAATGATTATGAAACAGGATATTTTTATGTTTGTTTCGTCTCAGGTTATCCTTGATTGACGAGACAGTTAACAACATGCATTGATTTACTAGGCAGTTTGCTTTGTGGAAAGTTATGAAGAAGTGTCAGAGTTGTAACATGAGTCTCACAATAAAAATAGTGTCTGTAAAATGAAAAGACTATTATGTAAAAATAATTTAATATTTAAACACAATATTACCATATTTATATAAAGAGTATAAAATTACTTTGCAGATTGTTCTGTTCTTTTGTATATGCGCAAAATTGTCATCTAATTTTGATCTCAAGAAGTCAAATGACTGGAATATGAAACTTTATAATTTAAATAATGCATTCCAATTTAAATTAAATATTATAGTCTTATAAGCCGAAGTGTAAATTTCACTTTGTCATACATATGTCCGGGTGTTTTTATAATATATCGATCAATGATAATACAATTCATTTGTTAATTAAACTTACGCTAACTCTACGCATTATTTTCTTTTTATTACAATGTTTAAAATCAGTCAACAAAAAAGTAAATTATACAACAGGATATACTTAGATGTGTTTTTCCTCGTGTCAGTTTTTCTTAATTGATGAGACAGTTAACAATATGTATTTCTTTCCCAGACGATTTTCTTTGTCGAATCCTACGGAGAAGTGTCATATCTTGAATATGAGTCTCCAACATAATTAAAAGTATCTGTAAAATAAAAGAACTGACAAGTACAAATAATTTATTATTTAAACATTATAATACCATAATTTATATAAGGAGTATGGAATTACTTTATAAATTATTCTGCTCTCTATTATATACGCAAACCTGTCATCTCATTTTGATCGTTAGAGGTAAAACGGCTTGAACATGACAACATATCATCTAAATAATGTAATTTTGAATGAAATGAAATATCATCGTTTGATAAGCTGAAGTGAAATACTGCTTTTTCATACAAATGTCCGGGTGTTGGTATGATATTACAATCATTTAAATTGCAATACACGTCTTAACCAAATACTCTAACTCTACGTAAATGTAAGCATAATTTTAGTTACCTAAGAAGGAAATTATGCATGTTATATTCTTCTAATTGAGAGAAAAAAAATGATTGCAGTAGAACTTTAGCTTGTGTATCCGATGTCATGGTAAAATCCTTTAATATATCACTGGGAATACATTTGCTTTAACTATATTCCACGCACAAAGAAGATACATGTGTACTTCTAAAAAGTCCTAATTGGAAGGATATTGTTTTGGTACATGTGTGACTTTTTCTTGAGCGTGGATATCTTTCAAATCTTTCAGATTGATGCATTCTCTCGGTATCTTTTATTTCAGAACATGCATTGAATGACAAGGACCATGTTGTTTTGGAATGTAGATAATTCAATTTAATGTTCGGCATTTGTAAACATAGATTTTGTCATTTTGATTTGGTATGACATGCACATTTCCGATAATTTTATCTTAAACATATTTTTTTTTAGTATATATAAACATTTTCTGTTTGTAAATTATGTGTCGTTTTTTTTAAGGTACTGTTACCAAAAAAAATCCGCTAATTAAATAATTCAGGCTCCTGTCCAGCCTGTAGTACCGAAAATGTTATGAGCAGAAATTACGAAGTCAACGTTTTAGTATAGGAAACATTGAAGATACCTTGACTAGACGTTCAAAACACATGTGCACATTTACTATATTGTAGTTAAATAATACATTTTAAGGTTAATATAATTATGTCAAGCCATTATAAGGAGTTTTAGAGTATTTAATTTGTGTATTTAGTTCTGTATAGAAATATGAAAAGATAGAAAATTGTTTTTGCCACAGCTTGACGCTGTCATGTAACAACATAAAACAAAAATGAAATCAAGGGTATTCGACAATTCTAAAAGCAAACTCATTATGATATACATTCTGATATACAATCAACTGTTCTATACACTGATATATCGGCGGATGTATTTTAACAAACGGTATTATGAAACCAGAGATGCTATTATAGAATATATGCAGTAAGTTTGCATGCATCTGTGTTAACAGTTATGTAGACATTATGATATGGTTTTGTTGTTTGCCAATCGGGAAATACATAAACAGAAAACAATCGGAACTTCAATGTACTACCCCTGACAGTAGGATTATCGTATAACCAAATGATGATTTTGTCCCAGGTTGATCCCATTTGGCCCATTTGCAGAGGAGAACATTTTTTGTAAAACGAACGACAACAAAGACGATAGATGACGCAAGGCGAGTGATTCTGCATACTATAAACTAAAATAATTTGCATTTAG